CCCCCCCTCTGCCGCCGAGCAGAGCCCCCTCGGAAAGCACTGAATCGCTCGCTTGAAGTGACATTGAATATAACGCTCCAATGCGAAAACCGCGACGTAGCCGCGGAAGGTTTTAAATGCTGATCTTAATCATGGCTTGTGAAGTTACGAAACTTAGTGATTCTTTGATTCAATTTAGCTCATTTTCCGATTAGTTTCTGTTTCTAGAAGTGGTGAATGACCTGAGATTTATTTGCTGTAATCTACGAACGACTTGCTTAGTGCTAAACATGTCTCCACGGCGCAAATGTAGCAGAGTTCTGCTACCTGTTAGGATTCATCGATTGAAGGCAGTTTCCCGCTCAAGCAATTTGTGGGCATCCTCCATTGTACACGTAGTTTGGCCCACACTCTCGAAGATCATGCCTTTTTTACACCTTAGGTAGGTACGAAAGCGCTGCGACTCTCAGAAGTGGCAGTCCTGACGTCTCCTGGTTGTCACGCCCACCGAAACTCAAATGCAACAAGAGTTCGGTTTTTACGCCGAGTTTTTCGATGTTTTTTCACTGTTGGATGATATTAGCTCTGGATGACGCTGAGAAACGATTAATGGGCCAGAGGCGGCAAAATATCGCTTCGCTGGCATAAAACGAGCTGCTCCGGAACTCGTTCAAAGAGGCTGCCACTTCCTTACTCAGGGTGTTCTCCATGAGTTTTATAACTTTATCTCTCCCGGACAGTCTTCTAACCACTATAGGTTCATACGAACGCTGTTATCCACAATATACAATCGCGGGGTTCTCTTCCAAACATACCGTGTCCGCGTTATTGACGAGGAAACCAGAACTGTATCTTTACATCCCTGAGATTGGGTAGGCGTGGCCGCATGTTTCAACTTAACCTGAAGGTGTCTATGCTTCTGGTGAGATATTTTCATCTTGACACAATTGTTGTCGTGTCTCTGTCCAACACAGAACAAGATGACAGTTGTCCCAGACTGGAATATTCCACGAGTAACCAGTTCCGTGCCATGTTCAAATGCCACGCCTACTCTGGCTCAGGGATAAGGAATGTATCTGTGCTGCATCACCGACTTCTGCCAGTTGGTATGACTCCATGGACCTTTTAGAAAATAAACGAACGCCTTATCGTTCTGACGTGCCACTACGCTTACTCTGGAAGGTTGGTGGACGAATTTTCAGGGTGAAGCAAACCCTATACTCGAGCTCTTGAGACTAGGAGCTTTCTGAGCGCTGGTTTCCAGCGACTTACTCTTCAATAACTTTCGGTCTTGTTCAGGCTGTGTTCATCCAGCTTTCTCTGGGCAGTTAGAGCTGTGCAGAAACGCTGCTATACGCTGGCGTTCGCCAGATCGATATCCATACTTCCCTAGCAGGTGGCGTAAGACGGCGT